GCCGTCACAGCGCACAAGGAAAGGGGGACACATGTCCAGGCACAAAAGAAAGTCTGGACTTGGAAAGTCTCCCATTCGAAGCCCTGAGTGTTAATCTTATTTCATGCCGAAATAAGATTCATTCAGAAAAATAGACCAGAATGACAGAGCAGGGGCAGATTAAAAAATCAAGAAGAAAGGGAAGAAGGGAGCTTTCTTTACTCCCAGCGGATTATTGGATTTGAAATGTTGCAACCGTTTGTGGGACGCGCGCTTTTGGTAACGTCTGAAACTCTGCTAGAAGGGGCTCTGTCCAGACTTTGGCTTGTTTTGAGCAGGGTTTGTCCTCTGCACGTAAATACAGGTGTTAGTGCCGTCACAGCGCACAAGGAAAGGGGGACACATGTCCAGGCACAAAAGAAAGTCTGGACTTGGAAAGTCTCCCATTCGAAGCCCTGAGTGTTAATCTTATTTCATGCCGAAATAAGATTCATTCAGAAAAATAGACCAGAATGACAGAGCAGGGGCAGATTAAAAAATCAAGAAGAAAGGGAAGAAGGGAGCTTTCTTTACTCCCAGCGGATTATTGGATTTGAAATGTTGCAACCGTTTGTGGGACGCGCGCTTTTGGTAACGTCTGAAACTCTGCTAGAAGGGGCTCTGTCCAGACTTTGGCTTGTTTTGAGCAGGGTTTGTCCTCTGCACGTAAATACAGGTATTTTCCTGGTGTTATAACAAACAAAGAGGATCCATGCCGTCTTTAGTCGCCAGTTAGTACGAACCGGGTTTAGGCTTTGCGGGGGTCAGTGTTCATTAAAAGATGATGCGGGTCCTTTGGGGATGACACAAAAGCTAGCCTGTTTGTACCTGTCTGAGGTCTTTCCCCCCAGAGCCAGCCACAGCTCGTGGTTCTGGGCAGCTCCAGAGCCAGGAGACACCTCACTGCATGGGTAGGACCCCCCAGGTCCTTCTTCTCTGGGTGCTCTGCAGCCCCCCCCTTGCTTTGCCTGAGCACCCCAGATCCTATGGGGAGGCACTGGGAAGAGCAAACCCAGCACTGAGCCCTGGGGGAGCAACGGGAGATGTCCCCAGCCCCTTCCAGGCACCACGAAGAGCAAACCCAAGGCACATCATTTCTGGTGCTCAGCCCCCGTGCTCCGCACCCGGCCGTGGCAAAAAGGGTCCCCCATGGCCGGAGGAGAGTTTTTTGTCATCCCCAGGGCAGGCAGCTCCATCACCGGGGCCACCTGGGCTGGTGAGAAGGTTAGCTGTGTTACTGGTCAGTGCCGGTGGGATTTGGGGGTGGTGCTCACTCTGTACTCCTTGAGCTGTCCCTGGATGGTGTCCAGGTGCACCCGGGTCCAGGTCAGAGCAATGGCAGTGCTGTTTAAAACTCTTATCCTAACATCCGTAGGTGCAGCCTTGGGATCTGAGCGGTCAGGGATAAAGGAGAGCGTAGGTTAGGCACCCAGGGGTACCCTGGAGGTCAGACAGACAGACAGATGGACGGACACCCCTCTGTCCCCCCCTTGCCGTGGGTTTCCCCTGCGTGCCAGCTCTGCCATCTGCGGGCAGCCTGGCAGCGTTGTCACAGGGATAATCATCTCCTTTTCTCCCTCCTTAAATTCAGTAGGCAATTTCTGAGGATTTCCAAATTTGAGAACACAAACCAGCAGCAACAGGCCAGTTCTCAGCTTCCTGGCCACCCTTGTTGGGGATGACCAGACCCTTCCACCATGTGAGTACACAGGATAGCATCACTTACCTCTGTCCCCCCCTACTTTCTCCCTGACACCTGCATGTTTAGAAGCTGACTATTGTTTTTCTTAGCAGTGCTCCCACAGGAAGCAGAAAAAATCCCCCCTATTTCACTCATCCATGAGAATATTGGTGATCCAGTTCCAAGCAGGGTTTCCTACACACAGGGGCTGGCTCACCATGGGGTACCAGCAAACCCGTCCCCTTCTGCTGCACCTGCCTGGCCACTGTTAGACCCAAGAGTTCCAAAATTACCCATTATTTCCACATCCGTTAATCTGAATTTGGCCAGAACCTGCTGCTGAGCCAGTTGAGGGTTTTTTTTTTTTACCTCCTCTTTACAGGTCACCTGTTTGTGTGTAGAAATCTGCAGTTATTTGTGAAGCAATTCAGACATGACAGAGCATGGAGTAGGGTTTTTTTGTTTGTTTTCGATTTGAGTTGTGTTTTTTTTAAACTGGTCCTACCCCTTGGGACACAGGTAGGAACACACTTGTATCTGGGGTGTGATGGGGAGCTCTGGTCTCCCTGGTTTACCTCCACATAAGGCACACATGTGCAGGTTCATTCAGATCCTCCCAAAACTCAAAATTATTGCACAAGTTTTCAACTGAAACTAGAAAAAAACCCCACCCTGGTATTGCATAGACCCGTAATACAGAGATGACAATGCACTTGGGTGCTTGTGGAGCTTTTCCAGTAACAACCTCGCAACCTCTTTGCTTCCAGACCTCTGCTCTTACCCCAACCCCCACCATTTCTGCCCATTTTCCCTCCCGTTGCCCTGTCTCCTCTGGGAGAAGATGCCCAGGCGGAGGATGTGTCCTACGTGTTATCTCAGTGCCGATATTGCAGATTTTCTTGAAATTGCTGTGCCCTGTTTGTGTCCCCTTGACTTCAAGCCTGAAGTCATGGATGGTTAGCTGGCTTGGCTACCATCCTTCTCAGTAATCCCAAAGTCACACAGCCCAGGACCCCCACCAGTGCTGCAATGCAAGGAAATAATAGATATATCTCTTTAAAAATAGCTGTTGGCAGCAAACCACATTATCCTAACAGGATAAGGATAATCGTAGTTCAGAGTCTTGGATGCTACAGGCCCAGAAGGTGACACCAGTAGCCCAAAAAGAAGGTGAAAAGAGAGTTGAACAAGCTGGCTGCTATTCTGTGTGGCCATTTTAAAGAAAGAGAAGCTGAGCCAATGGTGTGTTGCAAACAGGAGCCCAAGCTGGGGCCTTATCAGAGAGGCACAAGAATCCAGTCCAGTCCAACCAAGGCCCTTTTGGCCATTCATAGCACCCCTCATCCGAGATGAACTCGGTGCTCCACAGGCGTCAGGGGCAAAAAAAATTTAAGGCACTTTATTGAAACGCAACCAGGGCTCATCTTAAATGAAATCTTACCATCTTCCATACTCAAAGTGTTATCTGGGTCTTAGAGCAAGTATCTAAGTGACCCTTGGGTCTAAAGTGACTTGGGTCATGTAGGCAGAGCCCAGAACAGAATCGAACGGCCAAAGCTCATTCTTCCACTGCCTGGAACTGGATTTTTGTGCCAGATCAAGCAGTGCTGTGAACATGTCCCGGTCGCAGGTGCCAACCCACTGACCTCGGGTGGGATCCTGCCCTTCGGAAACACTTACTTATGATCTCTGGCTGAGAAAATACTCACAATCTTCCCCCGAATAGCCGATGTAGGTGTCAGGCTCCGGCGCTCTACCGAAGTCATTCTCCGCCTGCACTTTGATCTCGTAGGGTACGTAGATGGGGGTGTTCCAGACCACGTGCCTCGGTGCCTTCACTGTCTCGTTGTACCAGCTCCCTCGGGGGTCCCTCCGCCTCCATCTCACAATGTACCTGAGGTTGGGCCCATAAGCTTGAGTTGCATTCAGAGGCTTAACGGACCAAAACAGAAAAAGAAAGTGAGAAGGAGAAAGAGCAACTCTATTTCTCTGCCATGGAGCTCCAAAAAGGTCTGTTCAGCAGCTGGTTCTTATTTCATGCTCCTTCAGCGAGTCTCCAAGGAGGTCAATACTTTTGTTCCCAGAGAGAGACATACCTAACCAAGTCCTTGCCCTCCAGACCCAGGGCAGGACTAAGAACCATATCTGTGTATTCCAATCCATGCTCCCACTGCAATCTCTATCCTCCTTACAGATGCTGGCTTGTTTGTGGATGACACCTGCTGGTCCATGAAGAAAAGCAAGAGCTGCTCTGTAAGCCCTATTTACTGCTTCAGGAACCAGACTCTGAGCATCCTCCCTAACTGTGTCTGTGATCCAGCATCTTTTCTTTGGCTTACACCATTGCAAATTACTGTTTTTATCTCAAACCTCCTTCTAGGCACTACCATTGACCTTTCTTGTAGATGAGTCTTCTGCTTTTTATTTCCTTTCTGATCATTAATGTTATGGCATCCTGTGGGCACATCACACGTGCTAGAGATGCTGAGTTCTCTATATCTCAGCCCCTGGGGCCGGAATGGTAAGATGCTGGGTGGCTGTTGAGCATCAAAGAAGAACTCACCGTCCAGGTTATCTCCATGTTGTTTTTTTGAGTCCCTGCACCTTGAACTCCTGTTGGGTTAATTTCAGGACCTGAAATTCGCATTGAAAAAAAGGTAATGTTGTTTATAATGTTGAGAAACAACCGTTTGAGTAGTTAAAACCCCTTTACTGTGCAAGCCAAAAATACTTCCAAGAGAGAAGTTAATGGCCTGATTTTTCCAGAAGTTCCCATTCAGGTTAATGGAACATGAGCCTCTCAGCACTCTTGAAAACCAGGCCATTTATTTAGGAGCCTCTTTTTTTTTCTTTTTTTTTTTTTTCCCCAAAATGTCCTAAATCTTTGAAAGACAGCCATTGTGAAGAAACCCCGGGAGCCGAGTCTGACACTTGAAATCTGAAACAAGAAGAGTGATGTCGAAAGCCAACACTAGGTGCCAGCAGATATTGCAGAAGTGTGTCTGCCATAGTTACCTTCAGAAACGCAGCAAAACTACTGACCTGCTTGTGAATTCCTCATATGAATTTTCCCAAGTATTATTTTACAACCTACAAAGCACTGGGCACCCAAAGTGAAGACCTAAATCTTGGTCTTGGACTGGGGCACGCTTTATTCCTGCATCGATCTGGGCTCCTGGCCAGCTCTAGCAGTGGACAGTGAATTAGCAGTTTGGGAACAAAATGCCTTTTGCTTGTGGCCAGTTAAGACTTAGGTCTAATTTTCCAAGAGACTTCTGGGCTTCCTGTGGTCAGAAAGGATGAAAGACTTTCTTTAGAAAGCCTCTCTGTAAGGTGAAACCGGGCTTTCCTTCAACGGAGTCTGCTGGAGTGACCTCTGCATAAATCTTTCTGTTGAAGTTTCACTGCTCCACAGAATATCGGTCATGGGCTTGAGGAGGTGATATATAAAATTTCACCCCAGCACATGCGTGGAGCAGCTCATTCCCTCGCCCGTGTAAATCCCTTTCTGTTACAGGAGCCGTGATCAGACACTATGAGGGAAGGGTCTACATGGAGAGTGGTGGCCAGATGTTAAGAACAACCTCAAGTCGCCGCAGCAAGAGGGGCTGGGTGGAGGGTACTCACGTGCCCCGTTGGTCTGGTACCGTTCAGAGGGTACGCTGGGCAGGCTGCTGCCCACGTCGTTCACCGCGATCACCCGAAACTGGTAGTTGACGTAAGGAGAGAGGCTCAGGATGGCCGAGTTGACGCTCCCGGGGTACCTGGAGTGGTTGTGCCACATGCCAGGTTGGAACCGGTCCTCCTCAAACTGGACGATGTAGTCTGGGGGAGAAGGATGGAGAGATGGGGTTAAGGGCTCAGCTCACAGGGAAAAGTTTTCCCTCCGTTTTTGGGATGGATACGGGGCAGAGGGTCCGGCCGCTGACCTGTGATGGGGCTGTTGTTGTCATCACCAGGGATCCACGTCAGCCGCACGCTCCTCTCGGCCAGGTCTGTCAGCTCCAAGTCACGGGGCCGGTCGGGTCGTTCTGTTGGCCGAGTAACGAGACAAATTAGGCTGGGATCGTCCCAGGAGCTGGGAGTCCCAGTTCCCATCACTTCTCCTGGGAGGGGAAGCCCTGGCCGTCTCAGCCCAGCCCCGTGTCCCCCAGGAGGACACATGCTCTGTGCCACCATTCACCTCCTGCAGCTCTTGGTGCATCAGTGCAATTTTTTAAATACAAATGTGCTCATCTACTAATTGTGCCCTCCCATGAAACCCCCCCGGTACGACTGATGCTTTCTGATGGTGGAAGCATGATATAGTGGCTTAGCAGGGGGATATCTGATCTCACAGCAAACTACACACAGCTCTCCAAGAGATCAGTGCAAACGGAATAGAAAGGACATGAACCCTCAATGAAAATACAAACTTGCTAGAAATGCTCTGAGCACAATTCTGGTTTCTTTATCTGGCCACAACCCACATGGTCACACAGAACCAGCTCACACAATACCAATAACAACTTATTTCCCGGTAAAGGTCAAAGGATTCAATGGGATTTTTCTTTTTCTCCCATCAGGGCTCCCAGTTTCCAGGTGTGATCACCACGGGTGAGGTGATTCTGGCACCGTGGGACACGAAATGATGTGACACGGGACCTTTCTACCCACAGCCATCTGGATGGCTTTTCAAGGACAACATGAACAGGACTTGGAAGCATCAGCTCCCAGCTTTCTCAACCGCTGCACCTACGTTTTCTGTTGGCGTTATTGGCAAGGCAAACCAAAATCAATTTACAAAATAAAAAGAAAGGCAATGAATTAGTGATGATTACCTTTAGGTAAGTCTCTCAAACGGTTAGCGGGGACAGCTGCAAGGTAAGACATTGGTTGTTAACAGTGTTAGTTTAGTCATTAAGCTCGGGTGGCCAAAAGAGCACCTGGCAAATATAAAGTTACACACTCAGGTACAGATTTCAGCAGGATCTGACCCTGCCTGGGGACCAGGGAAGGTACCTCCTTCCCCCAGAGGCCCCCGGGCACACTCTGCACACCTTTACATGGCAAGGGGGAAACATCAGCCTGCTAGAGAGTTAATTAGCAATTAGGGGAAAAGGAAGGGAAATAAATCAAGTCTGGTCAAATTATTAGGGACAGGAGATTCACACTGAGCTCTGACTTTTGCAGGGCCCTGCGGGTCCATGCCAGAGGCACTGGCAGGTTGGGACATTCCTGTGAAGGCAGCACATCAGCAAGATCTGAGGTGGCCTGGAGTAGGGACCGATACATCTGTGTTCTGTGAGTAGATCTCGCAGGGGGAATGGGTTTAGGTTTGTCACTCCTGGTATTGAAAAGGGGACCTGGCAAGGCTGGGAGCGGCTCCCTCACCCCTGGGTTTCCAGGGGTGCTGCTCAGCAGCCTGACATTCAGTTAAATCCACTTACAAATTTAGAACTGTTCTTGCAGAGCTTCAACATCCACACTTGGATATTTTTAGCTGTATGTAATAACTAGTCTTTTTTTTTTTCTTTTTTACTTTTTTTTTTTTCTCAAACCAAGTTTCCTTCGACTCGACTCCAGTGCCATTGTCTGAGGGGGGGATCAGGCAGCGCGTCCTTGCCGAGTCCTGCAGAAGGGGAACAACTGCTCTGCCAGCATCTCCCCGAGCATCGCTGCTTCAGAGGATGACTCTGCGGTCACAGATCACCCCTTTGGTCTGACCTTGAGGCCAGTCTGTGCCATTAAAAATAAAGCCCCGTGTAAGGACAGCGGGAGGACAGCTTTACCTAGCACGGTGAGGTAGGCCTTAGCCGAGTCCTTGTCCAGCTCCGTGCTGGCTACGCAGGTGTAATCCCCTTGGTCCCTCTCAGCCACGCCATAGATTGTCAGACCATCATCTTCTTTCTTCATCCTTAAAGGGGATGAGAATGATAATCACACAACTGTCACTAAGGACTGTCCCTGAAGGACACAGACCTGTTGGAACGGACCCAGCGGAGGGCCACGAAAACGATCAGAGGGCTGGAGCCCCTCTGCTGGGAGGACAGGCTGAGAGAGTTGGGGGGTTCAGCCTGGAGATGAGATGAGAAGGCTCCGGGGAGACCTTAGAGCCCCTTCCAGTCCCTCAAGGGGCTCCAGGAGAGATGGGGAGGGACTCTGGATCAGGGAGGGGAGCCCTAGGAGGAGGGGGAAGGGTTTGACACTGAAAGAGGGGAAATGGAGATGAGATTTATGGGGAAGAACTTGTTTGGTGTGAGGGTGGTGAGAGCCTGGCCCAGGTTGGCCAGAGAAGCTGTGGCTGCCCCATCCCTGGAGGGGTTCAAGGCCAGGTTGGAGGGGGCTTGGAGCAACCTGGGCTGGTGGGAGGTGTCCCTGCCCAGGGCAGGGGGGTTGGAACTCCATGATCTTTAAGGTCCCTTCCAACTCTAACCATTCTGTGATTCTAAGCACATCAGGCAGCAGGACTGAGATCTAATTGTCCTCTGATAAAATACATATAATGGCTAAACAGAACAAGGAGTACGTCTCTGGTCTGAAGGTTTTATCAGCTGAGGATGTATCGAGTTATTCTTGGAAACTTCATTTCCTAAGGAATCAGCATGTTAGCTCTGGTGTGTGTCTGGAATAATCACACTTTTAGGCAGACGGTCTGACCTCTGCCTGGCTGGTGTCCCATGATCAGATCTCACTTCCTGAGAAGGGAGCCAGCTATGGAAAGGAAATTACCACCGTACCACCAGCAGATAAACATTAATTTTGCAGGAGCTTGTTATTAACTTTTTTTTTTGTCTCAAACCAAGTTTCCTTCGACTCGACTCCAGTGCCATTGTCTGAGGGGGGGATCAGGCAGCGCGTCCTTGCCGAGTCCTGCAGAAGGGGAACAACTGCTCTGCCAGCATCTCCCCGAGCATCGCTGCTTCAGAGGATGACTCTGCGGTCACAGATCACCCCTTTGGTCTGACCTTGAGGCCAGTCTGTGCCATTAAAAATAAAGCCCCGTGTAAGGACAGCGGGAGGACAGCTTTACCTAGCACGGTGAGGTAGGCCTTAGCCGAGTCCTTGTCCAGCTCCGTGCTGGCTACGCAGGTGTAATCCCCTTGGTCCCTCTCAGCCACGCCATAGATTGTCAGACCATCATCTTCTTTCTTCATCCTTAAAGGGGATGAGAATGATAATCACACAACTGTCACTAAGGACTGTCCCTGAAGGACACAGACCTGTTGGAACGGACCCAGCGGAGGGCCACGAAAACGATCAGAGGGCTGGAGCCCCTCTGCTGGGAGGACAGGCTGAGAGAGTTGGGGGGTTCAGCCTGGAGATGAGATGAGAAGGCTCCGGGGAGACCTTAGAGCCCCTTCCAGTCCCTCAAGGGGCTCCAGGAGAGATGGGGAGGGACTCTGGATCAGGGAGGGGAGCCCTAGGAGGAGGGGGAAGGGTTTGACACTGAAAGAGGGGAAATGGAGATGAGATTTATGGGGAAGAACTTGTTTGGTGTGAGGGTGGTGAGAGCCTGGCCCAGGTTGGCCAGAGAAGCTGTGGCTGCCCCATCCCTGGAGGGGTTCAAGGCCAGGTTGGAGGGGGCTTGGAGCAACCTGGGCTGGTGGGAGGTGTCCCTGCCCAGGGCAGGGGGGTTGGAACTCCATGATCTTTAAGGTCCCTTCCAACTCTAACCATTCTGTGATTCTAAGCACATCAGGCAGCAGGACTGAGATCTAATTGTCCTCTGATAAAATACATATAATGGCTAAACAGAACAAGGAGTACGTCTCTGGTCTGAAGGTTTTATCAGCTGAGGATGTATCGAGTTATTCTTGGAAACTTCATTTCCTAAGGAATCAGCATGTTAGCTCTGGTGTGTGTCTGGAATAATCACACTTTTAGGCAGACGGTCTGACCTCTGCCTGGCTGGTGTCCCATGATCAGATCTCACTTCCTGAGAAGGGAGCCAGCTATGGAAAGGAAATTACCACCGTACCACCAGCAGATAAACATTAATTTTGCAGGAGCTTGTTATTAAACCACCCATTTTATCTAGATGTCCTAAAATATCTGTAAATAAAACCTATAGTCAAAGTCTTGATTTACTGATAAGTCCATTCTAATTTCTAGGCAGTGTCTGTTGGCAGGGGCTAGTGACATTAAAAGTATCAAGAACAGCAAATGTTGCCTAGATGGGAACTCAGTGTTTGTCCTTGTTATCCCTGGTGACTCCTGAAACGTTCTGTAAAAGGTCCACCAGTCCTGGGAGAGGAGACTGATGGAAGTGGTAAAGACAGACCTGTTTCCCATGTACAGGGGTGCCTCGTCTTTCAGCCAGGTGACCGTGAGTTTCAGCGTGGGGTCGTGCTTCACGCGGCAGTGGAGGCGAGGCATGGAGCCCCTCTTCACCACCTGATCTTCTGGTCCTCTCACGATCCTCGTTGGGTCTGCACAAAGTGAGAAGGAAAGCATTAAACACCCAAACTGCTGGGTCTCAGCTCAGGAAATCAATGAAGAGTGGTGGTACTTGGAGAAGACAACCATGCACATCGAGTGTTTGTTGAGCTTGCTGTAGTGAACTGTCTCTGATACAGATGCTTGCAAATAAATTAATTTAACAAGCCATTAATTCATGCTGACCCTTTACAAAAATACCCAGTTTTCTGAGTCAGCAATCAGTTTTGCTGAACAGGGAAAGCCCTAGTGGAAACTTGATTCAGAAAATGTTTTATTGCCATCAGTTAACCCCAATGTACGCTCTGGATTTCTTTTTGCAATGCTTATGGCATCTCACGGCTCAGCATCCACACCAACCCCTTCTACAGCCTCAGTATATCCACAGACTTTGGGCTTTTTTTTCAACATTAAAAGGGAATCTCTGCCCTTTTCTGGATTCCAGCTCCAAATTACATAGAGCCAACCCTCCCTAATATCAGTTATTATTTCTGCTGCAAGTTTCAGAAGATCCAAGAGATGGTTTTGACCACAAACCCTTTGTGCTCCTACCTTTGACCTCCAGGCGAACCTGGGCCTCTGCTTTACCCAGGATGTTGGTAGCCACACAAGTGTAGATGCCCTGGTCCTCCTTCCGAGCCATGGTCATCTCCAAGCTCCCGTTCTCATGTGCCTTGTAGTTTCCTCCATCCAGTGTGTTCCCCTGGCCGTTCTTAAACCTCACAACACCACAAAGTGCTATTGTAAGGGAAGAAAGAGCAGGAAACCTCCCCTTCCCACCCTTCCGGGCTGGCAGGGGACGTGCTGCAGCTCTTACCATCTCAGGGTGGGGATTGGGGAGCCGAAGAAGGGGCAGTCCAGTCGGGTCCTGTTGTTTTGAATCACCCTGATGAGCTGATTGCGGGGGGCCAGTATCCGTGGAGGCACGTCTGCAAACAGCACAATCACAGCCGTTAAATAAAGAAAAGAAACCAGTTTCCAGACCGTTGTTCCCTTCCCAGTCCTTTCATCCACCCTCCCTTCTTCTTTTGTTCACTCTTTCTTGCTGGCACTTTCAAGACTCAGTAGAGCTTCTCCATTCCCTCTCATCTCTCCTTCTCTTTCTATCCACATTGCACGAATCATCTTACATCTGAGCACCAGCAGGACTTGCTCAGCCTTTCCATGGCTTTGCAGGTCCATGGTGATGGGCTTCTGCTCCACAGCCCAGCTGCAGAGGTCATGCACAAAGGTACATGAGTCTCAGAGCAGCCAACAACAAAGGGGAGATCCAACCGAGAACTTCTGCTGGAAGAACTTGAGTAGAGGGTGTTCATCTTCCGTAAGCACTTACCCAGGACGCTGACGAAGGCGTTGGCCAGAAGGTAGCCGTGCTCGTTGGAGGCGTTGCACTGGTACACAGCGCTGCTGCCGATCTGCGTGTCTCGAAAGACGATGGTGTCTCCAGCCACCTCTCGGCTCGGGTTGGGGGGAGACGCTTCAAAACAGAGAGCGCTCTTTAAATTAAATTTTAACTAAAAATTCACAAGACTCTCCCTACCATTGTGCATCTTTCCCGCTTATCCCAGATAAAACCAAGATTTGAACACACTCTTGCTGCAGAAATGGCAGCAAAAGTGTGGCATTTTTGGGTTACTGAATAGGGATGGATTTCTTCTCCCCCATCCTGATCTAGGGACACCTGCTCTAGTGGGAGGTGTCCCTGCCCATGGCAGGGGGGTTGGAACTTGATGATCTTTGAGGTCCCTTCCAACCCAAACCATTCTATGATTCTATGATGGTACATGATGTCCCCAGCCTACAAAGACACAGCTCCACTGGCCACGCTCAGCACGGTGCCAGGCACCAGTTGTGGCTCTTGTGGCCAACCAAGAGATCCTTGGCTAGGGTTTTTTTTCTGTTTAAAGGAGGTACAGATTCCTCCTTGCTCACCTTCTATAGGTTCACCGTTCACCAGCCACTGGATGGCAGGCTTGGGGTTCCCATTGGCTCGACACACCAGCCTGCCGTCCTCCCCGGGGGCCAGGATGAGGTTTTGGGGTTCGTCCAGCCAGTATGGAGCAGCTTTAAAAGACACCAACGCACCGGTTAGAAACGCAGCAGTAGTAACTGGTCCAAAATCCTCTCTCCACTGCAAACCAAGGTGATGAAAACACCATCATCCTCTCGAGGGGGCTTCCTTGGGTGCAGGGAGAGCAGAGAGTCTTCTTCCCCCCCCTCTTTTGGCCACACAAAACTGCAACCATTTATATCAGTGAAGCTCTGCTGAGTTACACCAGGTGGGATCACATCTCACACTGCTTTTGGGTCAGGCTGGACAAGAAGCAAGTATGGCTGGATACAGCACAGAGACAGCCCCCACTCCCCTCTTTCAGACACCAAAACGAACCAGAGCATCCCCCCTCCCACGCACGTCCCTCAGCCTCTGGCTGTGAAAGTAAAAAAGATGGCAAGGGAAAGATGACGTACCCTTCACTCTCACCAAGATCGTGTGGCGGATGCTGCCCATCTTGTTGGACGCCAAGCAGAAATACTCCCCAGAGTCTTCCTCGGAGACATTGGAGATACGAAGAGCCTTGTTAAAGTTTTCCAGCTTGGTTTTGCCTACTGGGAGATCGCCTCCTTTCTTGTACCACATGATGTCTGGTGCTGGTCTAAGGAGAAGGGAGAAGATAAATGCTTTTGCAAGACAAGAAAAAAATACTCCTAAGAAAACAGGGTGGGATTCCACACTTGGAACCACTCACACCCAGGGAGAAGGACTGATCCAACCGCTGGGACATCCTCCTCCCTACCACAGCCCCTGAACCAGGACCATGAGCATCACCAGGTGATCAGGTCCATCTCCCACCTGGTCCCTGGGGATGCAGAGTGCTGGTCTGGCAAGACCAGGCAGCCAAAGTCTCACCCTGAGCCCACCCCAAGGACAGTTCTGCAGGCACAAGGACCACAAAGGTCCTCCCTCGCAGTCTATAGAGTGTGGTGAGGAGCACCCAGGAGATCTGCAAATGGCTCTCAGGACAAACCAGTAAGGAATTATCCTTGGGCAGCAAGTATCTGAGGACACCTCCTTCTCTGAACAGTGCTGCAAAACTCAGTTGTCCCATTTGCTCCATGCTTTTATGCTTCAACAGGACACATGCTCTGTGCCACCATTCACCTCCTGCAGCTCTTGGTGCATCAGTGCAATTTTTTAAATACAAATGTGCTCATCTACTAATTGTGCCCTCCCATGAAACCCCCCCGGTACGACTGATGCTTTCTGATGGTGGAAGCATGATATAGTGGCTTAGCAGGGGGATATCTGATCTCACAGCAAACTACACACAGCTCTCCAAGAGATCAGTGCAAACGGAATAGAAAGGACATGAACCCTCAATGAAAATACAAACTTGCTAGAAATGCTCTGAGCACAATTCTGGTTTCTTTATCTGGCCACAACCCACATGGTCACACAGAACCAGCTCACACAATACCAATAACAACTTATTTCCCGGTAAAGGTCAAAGGATTCAATGGGATTTTTCTTTTTCTCCCATCAGGGCTCCCAGTTTCCAGGTGTGATCACCACGGGTGAGGTGATTCTGGCACCGTGGGACACGAAATGATGTGACACGGGACCTTTCTACCCACAGCCATCTGGATGGCTTTTCAAGGACAACATGAACAGGACTTGGAAGCATCAGCTCCCAGCTTTCTCAACCGCTGCACCTACGTTTTCTGTTGGCGTTATTGGCAAGGCAAACCAAAATCAATTTACAAAATAAAAAGAAAGGCAATGAATTAGTGATGATTACCTTTAGGTAAGTCTCTCAAACGGTTAGCGGGGACAGCTGCAAGGTAAGACATTGGTTGTTAACAGTGTTAGTTTAGTCATTAAGCTCGGGTGGCCAAAAGAGCACCTGGCAAATATAAAGTTACACACTCAGGTACAGATTTCAGCAGGATCTGACCCTGCCTGGGGACCAGGGAAGGTACCTCCTTCCCCCAGAGGCCCCCGGGCACACTCTGCACACCTTTACATGGCAAGGGGGAAACATCAGCCTGCTAGAGAGTTAATTAGCAATTAGGGGAAAAGGAAGGGAAATAAATCAAGTCTGGTCAAATTATTAGGGACAGGAGATTCACACTGAGCTCTGACTTTTGCAGGGCCCTGCGGGTCCATGCCAGAGGCACTGGCAGGTTGGGACATTCCTGTGAAGGCAGCACATCAGCAAGATCTGAGGTGGCCTGGAGTAGGGACCGATACATCTGTGTTCTGTGAGTAGATCTCGCAGGGGGAATGGGTTTAGGTTTGTCACTCCTGGTATTGAAAAGGGGACCTGGCAAGGCTGGGAGCGGCTCCCTCACCCCTGGGTTTCCAGGGGTGCTGCTCAGCAGCCTGACATTCAGTTAAATCCACTTACAAATTTAGAACTGTTCTTGCAGAGCTTCAACATCCACACTTGGATATTTTTAGCTGTATGTAATAACTAGTCTTTTTTTTTTTCTTTTTTACTTTTTTTTTTGTCTCAAACCAAGTTTCCTTCGACTCGACTCCAGTGCCATTGTCTGAGGGGCAGATTAGGCAGCGAGTCCTTGCCGAGTCCTGCAGAAGGGGAACAACTGCTCTGCCAGCATCTCCCCGAGCATCGCTGCTTCAGAGGATGACTCTGCGGTCACAGATCACCCCTTTGGTCTGACCTTGAGGCCAGTCTGTGCCATTAAAAATAAAGCCCCGTGTAAGGACAGCGGGAGGACAGCTTTACCTAGCACGGTGAGGTAGGCCTTAGCCGAGTCCTTGTCCAGCTCCGTGCTGGCTACGCAGGTGTAATCCCCTTGGTCCCTCTCAGCCACGCCATAGATTGTCAGACCATCATCTTCTTTCTTCATCCTTAAAGGGGATGAGAATGATAATCACACAACTGTCACTAAGGACTGTCCCTGAAGGACACAGACCTGTTGGAACGGACCCAGCGGAGGGCCACGAAAACGATCAGAGGGCTGGAGCCCCTCTGCTGGGAGGACAGGCTGAGAGAGTTGGGGGGTTCAGCCTGGAGATGAGATGAGAAGGCTCCGGGGAGACCTTAGAGCCCCTTCCAGTCCCTCAAGGGGCTCCAGGAGAGATGGGGAGGGACTCTGGATCAGGGAGGGGAGCCCTAGGAGGAGGGGGAAGGGTTTGACACTGAAAGAGGGGAAATGGAGATGAGATTTATGGGGAAGAACTTGTTTGGTGTGAGGGTGGTGAGAGCCTGGCCCAGGTTGGCCAGAGAAGCTGTGGCTGCCCCATCCCTGGAGGGGTTCAAGGCCAGGTTGGAGGGGGCTTGGAGCAACCTGGGCTGGTGGGAGGTGTCCCTGCCCAGGGCAGGGGGGTTGGAACTCCATGATCTTTAAGGTCCCTTCCAACTCTAACCATTCTGTGATTCTAAGCACATCAGGCAGCAGGACTGAGATCTAATTGTCCTCTGATAAAATACATATAATGGCTAAACAGAACAAGGAGTACGTCTCTGGTCTGAAGGTTTTATCAGCTGAGGATGTATCGAGTTATTCTTGGAAACTTCATTTCCTAAGGAATCAGCATGTTAGCTCTGGTGTGTGTCTGGAATAATCACACTTTTAGGCAGACGGTCTGACCTCTGCCTGGCTGGTGTCCCATGATCAGATCTCACTTCCTGAGAAGGGAGCCAGCTATGGAAAGGAAATTACCACCGTACCACCAGCAGATAAACATTAATTTTGCAGGAGCTTGTTATTAAACCACCCATTTTATCTAGATGTCCTAAAATATCTGTAAATAAAACCTATAGTCAAAGTCTTGATTTACTGATAAGTCCATTCTAATTTCTAGGCAGTGTCTGTTGGCAGGGGCTAGTGACATTAAAAGTATCAAGAACAGCAAATGTTGCCTAGATGGGAACTCAGTGTTTGTCCTTGTTATCCCTGGTGACTCCTGAAACGTTCTGTAAAAGGTCCACCAGTCCTGGGAGAGGAGACTGATGGAAGTGGTAAAGACAGACCTGTTTCCCATGTACAGGGGTGCCTCGTCTTTCAGCCAGGTGACCGTGAGTTTCAGCGTGGGGTCGTGCTTCACGCGGCAGTGGAGGCGAGGCATGGAGCCCCTCTTCACCACCTGATCTTCTGGTCCTCTCACGATCCTCGTTGGGTCTGCACAAAGTGAGAAGGAAAGCATTAAACACCCAAACTGCTGGGTCTCAGCTCAGGAAATCAATGAAGAGTGGTGGTACTTGGAGAAGACAACCATGCACATCGAGTGTTTGTTGAGCTTGCTGTAGTGAACTGTCTCTGATACAGATGCTTGCAAATAAATTAATTTAACAAGCCATTAATTCATGCTGACCCTTTACAAAAATACCCAGTTTTCTGAGTCAGCAATCAGTTTTGCTGAACAGGGAAAGCCCTAGTGGAAACTTGATTCAGAAAATGTTTTATTGCCATCAGTTAACCCCAATGTACGCTCTGGATTTCTTTTTGCAATGCTTATGGCATCTCACGGCTCAGCATCCACACCAACCCCTTCTACAGCCTCAGTATATCCACAGACTTTGGGCTTTTTTTTCAACATTAAAAGGGAATCTCTGCCCTTTTCTGGATTCCAGCTCCAAATTACATAGAGCCAACCCTCCCTAATATCAGTTATTATTTCTGCTGCAAGTTTCAGAAGATCCAAGAGATGGTTTTGACCACAAACCCTTTGTGCTCCTACCTTTGACCTCCAGGCGAACCTGGGCCTCTGCTTTACCCAGGATGTTGGTAGCCACACAAGTGTAGATGCCCTGGTCCTCCTTCCGAGCCATGGTCATCTCCAAGCTCCCGTTCTCATGTGCCTTGTAGTTTCCTCCATCCAGTGTGTTCCCCTGGCCGTTCTTAAACCTCACAACACCACAAAGTGCTATTGTAAGGGAAGAAAGAGCAGGAAACCTCCCCTTCCCACCCTTCCGGGCTGGCAGGGGACGTGCTGCAGCTCTTACCATCTCAGGGTGGGGATTGGGGAGCCGAAGAAGGGGCAGTCCAGTCGGGTCCTGTTGTTTTGAATCACCCTGATGAGCTGATTGCGGGGGGCCAGTATCCGTGGAGGCACGTCTGCAAACAGCACAATCACAGCCGTTAAATAAAGAAAAGAAACCAGTTTCCAGACCGTTGTTCCCTTCCCAGTCCTTTCATCCACCCTCCCTTCTTCTTTTGTTCACTCTTTCTTGCTGGCACTTTCAAGACTCAGTAGAGCTTCTCCATTCCCTCTCATCTCTCCTTCTCTTTCTATCCACATTGCACGAATCATCTTACATCTGAGCACCAGCAGGACTTGCTCAGCCTTTCCATGGCTTTGCAGGTCCATGGTGATGGGCTTCTGCTCCACAGCCCAGCTGCAGAGGTCATGCACAAAGGTACATGAGTCTCAGAGCAGCCAACAACAAAGGGGAGATCCAACCGAGAACTTCTGCTGGAAGAACTTGAGTAGAGGGTGTTCATCTTCCGTAAGCACTTACCCAGGACGCTGACGAAGGCGTTGGCCAGAAGGTAGCCGTGCTCGTTGGAGGCGTTGCACTGGTACACAGCGCTGCTGCCGATCTGCGTGTCTCGAAAGACGATGGTGTCTCCAGCCACCTCTCGGCTCGGGTTGGGGGGAGACGCTTCAAAACAGAGAGAGCTCTTTAAATTAAATTTTAACTAAAAATTCACAAGACTCTCCCTACCATTGTGCATCTTTCCCGCTTATCCCAGATAAAACCAAGATTTGAACACACTCTTGCTGCAGAAATGGCAGCAAAAGTGTGGCATTTTTGGGCTACTGAATAGGGATGGATTTCTTCTCCCCCATCCTGATCTAGGGACACCTGCTCTAGTGGGAGGTGTCCCTGCCCATGGCAGGGGGGTTGGAACTTGATGATCTTTGAGGTCCCTTCCAACCCAAACCATTCTATGATTCTATGATGGTACATGATGTCCCCAGCCTACAAAGACACGGCTCCACTGGCCACGCTCAGCACGGTGCCAGGCACCAGTTGTGGCTCTTGTGGCCAACCAAGAGATCCTTGGCTAGGGTTTTTTTTCTGTTTAAAGGAGGTACAGATTCCTCCTCACTCACCTTCTATAGGTTCGCCATTCACCAGCCACTGGATGGCAGGCTTGGGGTTCCCATTGGCTCGACACACCAGCCTGCCGTCCTCCCCGGGGGCCAGGATGAGGTTTTGGGGTTCGTCCAGCCAGTATGGAGCAGCTTTAAAAGACACCAACGCACCGGTTAGAAACGCAGCAGTAGTAACTGGTCCAAAATCCTCTCTCCACTGTGAACCAAGGCGATGAAAACACCGTCATCGTCTCGAGGGGGCTTCCTTGGGTGCAGGGAGAGCAGAGAGTCCTCTTCCCCCCCCTCTTTTGGCCACACAAAACCGCAACCATTTATATCAGTGAAGCTCTGGAGCAGAGAGTCTTCTTCCCCCCCCTCTTTTGGCCACACAAAACTGCAACCATTTATATCAGTGAAGCTCTGCTGAGTTACACCAGGTGGGATCACATCTCACACTGCTTTTGGGTCAGGCTGGACAAGAAGCAAGTATGGCTGGATACAGCACAGAGACAGCCCCCACTCCCCTCTTTCAGACACCAAAACGAACCAGAGCATCCCCCCTCCCACGCACGTCCCTCAGCCTCTGGCTGTGAAAGTAAAAAAGATGGCAAGGGAAAGATGACGTACCCTTCACTCTCACCAAGATCGTGTGGCGGATGCTGCCCATCTTGTTGGACGCCAAGCAGAAATACTCCCCAGAGTCTTCCTCGGAGACATTGGAGATACGAAGAGCCTTGTTAAAGTTTTCCAGCTTGGTTTTGCCTACTGGGAGATCGCCTCCTTTCTTGTACCACATGATGTCTGGTGCTGGTCTAAGGAGAAGGGAGAAGATAAATGCTTTTGCAAGACAAGAAAAAAATACTCCTAAGAAAACAGGGTGGGATTCCACACTTGGAACCACTCACACCCAGGGAGAAGGACTGATCCAACCGCTGGGACATCCTCCTCCCTACCACAGCCCCTGAACCAGGACCATGAGCATCACCAGGTGATCAGGTCCATCTCCCACCTGGTCCCTGGGGATGCAGAGTGCTGGTCTGGCAAGACCAGGCAGCCAAAGTCTCACCCTGAGCCCACCCCAAGGACAGTTCTGCAGGCACAAGGACCACAAAGGTCCTCCCTCGCAGTCTATAGAGTGTGGTGAGGAGCACCCAGGAGATCTGCAAATGGCTCTCAGGACAAACCAGTAAGGAATTATCCTTGGGCAGCAAGTATCTGAGGACACCTCCTTCTCTGAACAGTGCTGCAAAACTCAGTTGTCCCATTTGCTCCATGCTTTTATGCTTCAAGCAGCTCATGAGAGTACTGTTAATAGCGGTTAAAAGGAAGGGAATGACCCCTTTTCCTTCCCAGAGGTGTTTCCATTGGCGATTCAGCATCTTGGTCCCAGGACATCCTGCCAGAGACCACCCTCTGCCCATCTCCCCCGGCCGGGACGCGGTACGTACACTCCTGAAGCAATGCACTCCAGCAAGAGGTCCACCCCCCTCAGCACCATCTGACTGCTCGAGGTCCCGTAGGGATACATGAAGCTGGGAGTTGTTTCCGTAATCCCTCGGGCTGAAATCAGCGGGAGAGGAAGAAAAAAAAAAAAAAAAAAAAATTTTAAACTCTTTTCAAAAATACATGGTGTTTTGGGGGGAAGCTTCCTTTCAAGTTCCTGGCCAAGCCTGGGATACTGAACTCACTCAGTAATGTACCTGGAAAGTAGAGAAGGGCTAAAGATGATTTTTATGTAAATAAAATAAAATAAGGTAGAGAGAGGGTTCTTGGGAGACAAGGAGGAAAAGAAGCAGCAGAGGATGGGCAGGGGGAGCTGAGCCATGGGGGAAAAGCCCCACGCCATCAGCTCCCAGCAGGACAGCATCTTTCCTGCCCACCCCTGCCTCTAGCACAGAGAAATGGGCTGAAATCAGATGAGCCTTGGAAATACTGATGGACAGAACATGTAATGAAGGACACAAGGAACAAATGGGCACAGGAAGGGTTTACACGGCCAACTGAGCTGCTTTGCCACAGAGATCTCTGAAATACAGAGGATCCCGGTGCTGTCTGAGGCTCCAGCAGCACCAAGGAGGTTTCCCACCCTTACGAGGAGCTGCAGGGCCTGGAAGGACAGTGCCCTTTGGAAAGGAACAACTTGGATGACCAAAATGTCAAATTTTAGGACTAGACAGGAAAGTTTAAGAGGAGACAACCAGAGGAAGACACAAGACAACTCTCTACAGATAACACACAACGAAGGTCTCTTTGTAGGGGAAAAAAATTAATTATTAATGGAATAAATTCCATTAATAAGTGGAATTATTAAACTAGATCAGTGAGGACAAAACAGGATGAGATGGGCTTGAAAGCAGCAGTAGCAGAGATGGAGGTTATGAGATTAGGAAAGGGGACAGAGTGGCTGGGGTTGGCACAGGGTCACTACAAAGAGTGAAGCGATCCGTGGGGTATGCCCAGCGCCGTGGGGGGCTTTGGGGGATGCCCACGTCTATTGGGGAAGCCTCCACCTGAGCTCTGGTAGGGAAAAAGGGCTGGGAAGAGAAGACCAGGCTCACCAGAGGAAAATAAATCCCAACCCCAGGAGTTAAACCATGTGTTTGAAACGGCCACACACACCCCCACACCCCCATCCCACCGCTCCCACAGGTTACCGGTCCGCACGTGCTCCTCAGCTGGTTAGTTAATTACTTGATTAATGGATTACAACAGCAGGCAAATCCTGACCCTGTCCTGAAGGGCCAGTTCCCTGGGCTGCTGTTTGCTCGCCCGCTTCTGGAGAGGATCTTTATCTTCCTTAAAACAAACCAGCCTGTGGTGGGGCTCTGCGGGGGTGACAGAGCCAGCGGCTGGATTTAAAGTCAGTATTTATCAACAGCTCCCGTCCCTCCGGCCAGGCTCGTGAACTTCTCTCTTCTCATGGGATCAGGAGAGTGGGATATTATTTTATAAGCCAATATTGGCTTTTATTAGCCAACAGTTTGAACAGGCAGTACGCTTCACTCCCATTTGCTCAGGAGCCCGGGGCTTAACTAGAAGAGCTAAGCAGCAGTGCAAGCCAAATTTTACGAGCCATATATTAATGATGAAAATTAAAAATATGGGAGATAAATTAGTATCCTATCCGTGTTTTTTTAATAAACCTAACAACACCACCGCATAGCTGATAAGCTTTTTGCCTTAGCACAGCACTACTAATAAATATTTTGGTATTTTATAGCAGAGCAAATTCTATATATTTATATAGAGAGCGGCCAGAAATTCTCTTGGGCAGAGGTACTGCTCCAGCTCTGGACTTGCAACAGCTACAGCTGGAAGCTGTCAGGCAGATAGCAACGTCTCACTCAACTGTTTGGATGGAACAGAACTGGAAAAATAAATCCCATGGCTATTTATTTCTCCTCAAAAATAGACCTTGCTTCCAACATATTGCTGCTGTTGTCCTCACCTCTCAAACTGGACCCGTTCGGTGTGAGTGGGGTATCCCACAAACAGCCACTTCTCGCCCCAGAGCAGCCAAGTGCCCCCTCCCCACAGTCCTGACCTGACGGCGTTTAAAAACTGTACATCGAGTCGCATTTCTGCTGAAAGGCGATAATAGGAATATGCACATCCAGACACATCCCATCTGCTCGCCTCCTGCACAGCCAGCCAGCTTTAAAACATCCCGCAGGTTTGCCAAAAGGGAAAGGAAAAAAAAAGAACAAAACAGACTTTCATTTCCATTTAAAAAAAAAAAAAAGGTGAGAAACTTCCGCTAATAAAATATTCAACTAATCTCTTTTAATCCATTTAGATCATTTTTCCTTCATAATTGCAGCCTGCTTGCCTGGGCGATTAAGCTGAGCCTGTACCTTGGGGACCAGCACCCCAAGGTGGAGGGTCCCAGAGCCCCAAATCTCCCAAACCTAAAAATACTTGGAAGACTGATGCCCCCCTTCCCCACTTCCCAGCCCTAAAACTCCTTTCTTTGCTGCAGCTGGTTCCAGTGGTGCCTACAGCCAGACAGGTCATTCCAGGGAGAAACACGGGGTTCACAAAAAGAAAAAAGGGCCAAGGGTAAGAATTTTTTCACAAGTTCATTAACTATTAAGAAATTCTGAGACAGAGCTCAGATTAGCACAGGGTAACGAGTGGGTGATTTGAATCCACTGGACCCACAGAATGTTCCAGGAGACATTAAGTGCAAATAATCCATATAGTACAAAGAGCAGGCAGTTTATCCTATGCACCTAGGAATAGAAATCTGGAGAAATCCATAAGACTATGCAGATAACATCTCATTTTCCTAACCAAGGGACTATTAGGCATCCCTTTTCCCTGAACACAGACCTGCAATGGGAGGTCAGGGAGCCCACAGAAACGGTGCCCAGGCAGCGTGAAGGCATCCTCTTTGAAATGCAAACATCTGGATTTCTCTTTGGTTCCTTGTCCTTCGTGCCTGCCTGGGAGACATCTCCTCCTGCTCGCCTCTCGGTGAGGCAGTTTTATGCAGTTCCCATTGAAGCTAATTTTGGTGGAAATCCCCTTTCACAGCCATTTCTATAAGTATTTTCAGACTAACCCCAGCCCATTTGCTGCAACCAGTGCTTCCTCCAAGGCTGGTTCTTCTGCTGAGCCTTCCCCAGCTCTTCAGCATCCTCAGGAGCCCAGCTCCTGGCTGTCGGTGAGATGCCAACACTCCGGTTCCCTCAGTAGGGAAGGGACAGGGGGGCTCTCGCCAGGGACACCCGACCCTGTGTCCTCGCCTGGCACATCCTCCTCTTCCCACACTCCAACCTTCTCTGCTCTTAGCTGGCAAAAGCACTCCTTGTCCCTAAAAGTCCCCGTGGAAGAAGAAAATGTGCCCTGGATCGTCTGGGGAACAGACCAACTCTGGGTGGAAGAGGATGAGACAACGGCTGAGCAGGATCTCGCTGTAGGACACGGCTGGGGACAAGCACGGGGCATGGCTGGGATTGTCCCCATCCTGCTGCCACAACCCTGGTCCCTGCAAGCAGCAAGAAGGGCAGAAAGAAATCCTGCCCATGACAGCCCCTGGCCTGGGGGGAATCAGAGCCTGTGGTGCTCTTTGGTGAGGCGTTCACATCCCTGGCACTGGCCAGACACCCCCATCTCCCCTGCAAACCCTGCTGCTCCCCGACTCTGCCCACAGCATCCCGTCACATCCCTGGCACTTCTAATCCCTTCTCAGGGCAGGGCCCTGGGGACCCACATGGTTTTGTGTCTAAAGCATAATTTATGAGTTTGGGAGGGGCTTCTCCCAGCAAACGCCGGCTCCGGAGATAATGAGCCTCGCAAGAACATCCAACACATGTACAACCTCACCACAAAGAAACAAAGCACCCAGCCTCTGAGAAAACCAAATACTCCTCTTTTCCTTTTTTTTTTTCCCCTCCCAGTCACTGCCTGTGTTTAGCCACTAATACAATAGATGCCCTTTCTGGAGACAGAGAGAATAGGGATGGGGGGGTCTTATCTTTAAATCATGAACCTTTGCTGAGGACAAACCACCTCTCCAGCGAGGAACCAAGCTGGGCTCCCTCAGCCAAGCAGACTTTTTCACATGGGCAAGATGCTATTAACCCAAACCCCTCTCAAGCTGGGCCCTGCAGATCCAGTGAATTAGCTCAAAACCCAGTAATTTGAAATTCTGCCAAGTTTGAGGGCGCTTCGTCGCTGTTTGGCTCATCTCGTCCCCCCCGTTGGTGTGGGGTTGAGGCCATGACCCACGAGCGGGGACGGGGGCAGACACGGGGGGTGCGTGGGCACGGCCGAAGGGCAGAGGATGCTGTGGGGCCTTTCGGTGCCCGGTTAGCGCAGGAGATAAGTCAGGGTTAGGCAGAAGGGGGTTAAAATCGTGAAGGTCTCCAGAAGCCAGCGTTGACTCACCACTGTACATGTCAGTGTGATTTCGTAAAGACGTTTCGTTATGGGGTTTCTCTGCAATAAACAAAAGACTGTGAGCATGTCGAGTGCCATAAAGCAGGGTTGGGGGACAGGCGATGCGGGGGGACGGGACAGAAACCAAAATAAGTTCCCAAAACACAAGAGCAACACGGACAGGCAACGGCAGGGACAGAAAAGCACTCTGAGCACAGCTGCCTTCAGGACACACAACATAACACAGCAATAAAGGAGAGGAAAAGAGGGCTCTTTGCCTCCTGCGAGGTGGGAGGACAAGTAAATGTAGGAAAATTGTATCATAAACATTTCCTTGAAGTGTTTTTCTTCTCCGTCTAATGACGTTTGTATCTTTGGGGAAAAAAAAATAAAATTAAAATCAGTTCAATTTGAAGAAGAACAATGCTTTTTCTCTCAGTTTCTTAACTATGAGGGAGACACATTCCGGCTACTTTTTCCCAGCATAAAGCATAGGTTGGACACAGCTGGGCAGCAGCGTAACCACGCAGAAAGGCATGGCAAAGATGAACAAATAATAATAATAATAATAATTAGGCTCTAAAAGCATAATCTGCTGTAAAATCCCTCTTAATTGCAAGGTAATTAAAGTAGATTGTGTTACATGCAAAACACCAGCTCTTCAATAACCCACTGCTCTCATTAAATGACAACCACCCCCAGCCATCACCTATACTTGATGAAGGAAGCTAATTGCCCCCCGTGGTCTGCGAGGGGGCGGGGGACACACTGTCCTGGCCCACAGCTGCTGGAGGATCTGCCTTCCTCAGCTCCCACTGTTACCCCAAATACCATTTTGGGGTGTGAGAACACCCTGGTTTCCACCAGGATGTGGCCCAGATGTGTTACGGTATCATCTGCCCAACAGGAGGGACAAGAGGCTGTGCTGGCTGTGATACAGGACCCCTAAGTCATCAGCCACGCACCAGGTCTCTGTGCCAGGGGGTTACAAGAGCCCAGGAGATCCTAGAATCACAGAATGGTTCAGGTTGGAAGGGACCTTCAAGCCCCCCCAGTGCCACCCCCTGCCCTGGGCAGGGACACCTCCCACCAGACCAGGTTGCTCCAAGCCCCCTCCAACCTGGCCTTGAACCCCTCCAGGGATGGGGCAGCCACAGCTTCTCTGGCCAACCTGGGCCAGGCTCTCACCACCCTCACATCAAACAAGTTCTTCCCCATAAATCTCACCTCAATCTCCCCTCTTTCAGTGTCAAACCCTTCCCCCTCCTCCTAGGGCTCCCCTCCCTGATCCAGAGTCCCCCCCCATCTCTCCTGGAGCCCCTTGAGGGACTGGAAGGGGCTCTAAGGTCTCCCCGGGGCCATCTCTTCTCCAGGCTGAACCCCCCCAACTCTCTCAGCCTGTCCTCCCAGCAGAGGGGCTCCAGCCCTCCCAGCATCTCCATGGCCTCCTCTGGCCCCGCTCCAACAGTGATGCCCAAGATCTTCCTGAACCTGGGTGCACCAGAGAAACGCTCTGCAGGGAAAGGCACGGGTGTCGTTCCCCCCAGGCCTTTGCATTTCTCTCTTCTTGCATCCAAGGGCATGGCAAACCCACGCAATGATTTTTTCAGCAGCTGGTGAACTTATTTTTTTAAAGCCAGCCAATGCTCATGGCTTGGGGCTGAGATGACTGAACAGCTTGAGACAAATACAAGCTCATCTCCTTTGAACGCTGTACGTATAAAGAATTTTTTGTATAGTAACAGATGAGAAATTAGAGCCTCCGTTCTTTAAATTATAAGGGCCTTTGGGGAGCTCATGGGGTGGCATTTGCATCTGATAATACAGCAGATGTTTCCAAAGGAAAACTTAAAGAGAGGGTCCGGTAAAATTGGAAGCCAATTCTCCGTAGCCTGGGAGGAAAATGCTGCGGTGGCATCTGAGTGGAGCAGCGGGGGGAGCTTGTATCTGTCTGCAGAGAAATCTTCCAGGAATTTCTCCACAATTTTTCTAGACAAACATGTCAGGCTGGAGCCTTTGGAGGCTCAAGCAACCACAGATCTTTGTTTGCAAGAATTTCTCCAGCTCACGCTACTTTAGGAAACTACTGTCCTTCCCTTCCAGGTAAGCGCTGGCACTGTTTGGCCAGCCCGGTAAACACACAAATAATACTCAGCATGAACGACCCACACACATTCCTCGCCAGCAGCAAAGAGCGTTTATAGTATTTATCTTGCTGATTCCCCGCTCCTGCTTTGCACAGAGCAGAGAGAAGCTGTTACAATAAAAGCACAAAACACTCCAGGCCCCGTCTGCGTCTTGCATCCCTTTCAGGTCCCTTTAATAACGTTACTTCTAATTTAAGCTGCTGTGAGACCAAAATAAGCTCCCAAATCTGGGATTCAGGCGTGCCTCCTGCCTGCTCCTCACAAACCCTGCTCCCCAAAACGCAGCCCTGCACCTCCCAGCACACACTACCCCTTCCTCCCAGTTGGACCTTACTGGGAACGGGAGATGGCTCCTCTCTGATGACTGGGATGGTGTTTCTGTGTCTATTGCTGCAATCCTCCACCCCAAAAGCAAGCCCATGCTCTGCAGGACCTGCATCCACCCAAGAGCTTCGTGCTCTGCGGCGCCCAGCTGGGTTCTCCTCTGCCAGCATTCCCACCAGCCAGCACCACGGAATGTGTTGGCATCAGGAACTCGCCTTCCTCTGAGCAGTCTCCTTTCCGGAGAAGACACTGCTGGTGGCTGGACCTCTTCATGGAAAGGCTCTTCACGTGCCTGGAGAGAGCCACCACGTGCTCCTCCTGTCCCCCAAGATGATGCTTTTGGGTGAATCTCAGTTTCAAGGTGACACTGAGAATGCTGGCCACCCTGAGTGTGTCCCACCTGGACACGCTCAGACCCCAAAGGCTGCAGTCCTGCTCTCATAGTGTCCCAGAGTCAAGGAGCTGAAGAGCAGCTCCTGGTCAGTGGGTAAATCCTGAGCTGTGAACGTTGACACACACACTCAAATCCCCCCGTGCAGCACCAGCACAGCTGGGAGTTCCCTGTAAACCTAAGCCTGGAGCAAATCAAGGCTATTTCCACCTTTTCAAACTAGGGCAAGATCGCTTGATATTATAAATTTCCCTAAAGATAGGGGAAATGCCCCATCTGTGTTGAAATGCTTTCCAGTTTATCCCAGACACACAGACTGAGTGATACCTGCACCCAACCTACCTCTGCAGCCCTTGACCCATGAAGCTGCAAAGCTCTGAGATGCTGGAGAGGAAGCAGCCACCCCTCCCTGCCAGGTTACCCATCCCAGGACTGTCATTCCTCGGCCAAACAGGCTCCTGTGCTACCCTAAACAGAATGAAGGAAGCTGCTCTTCTCCCTGGTAAGTCTCAGTGCTGCCAAGGACAGAAACAAGGTGCCTGGAAGGAAAACCCTGCCTCGGAGAGGCCAGGGAAGACCCATCCTGAGGCATCACCGTGACACTTACTGGTTTTCACCTTGAGGGTGTAGGGGTTTTTCTGCTGAATGGTGTGGGTGAAGTGGAAGCGAGCATTGCAGCTGTAGTCGGTCTGGGCGTCCTGCAGCATGACGTTGGAGAAGTACAGGTCACCATTCTGGCCCTGGGACACCCGCTTGTCCTGGTGGATGGGCTCCATGGCTGGAGAAGAGGAGAAGAGGCATCCAGAGCAAGTCAGATCCTCCCACCGCCAAGGAGAACCCCCTGACCCAGCCCACACCTGGGTGCCTCCAAGCTCTGGCCCAGACAGAGTTATCTTAAGTAAAGGCTGAAGGTGACAGAAAGGCTGCCCCCAGGGTTCCAAGAGGGAAGGAGGTTGCCCCAACTCACAGCTGCTCATCCAGAAGATGACAGGAGAAGGCAGGCCCGGCGGCGGGTTGCACTGCAGGCTGAGCGGAGCACCTTCATCCACCTCTATCACATCCACCTTCTCCTTGGGCCACAGGGGAGACTCTGCCACAAGAGGTAAAGACACCTCGTGAGGAAGGGAGGGAAGCAACTTTGCTGATCTCTTCCCGCCGGACCTGGCCTGGTTTCGATGGAGCGGCCTCAATGCAAACTTCATTTCTACATGTGCAAGGTTCCCTTAGATCTATACCAGGTATTTCCCTGTTGGCTACAGCCACCACCCCCACACCTTCATCTCCGTCCCATCACTGAATACATCCCGACACGGGTAACGGATGAAACAGGCTGAGATGTTTGAGCAGTGGACATTCTCCACGTCTCTCCTACAAGATCTCAAACGTGCAACAATCCCTGCTCTCCCGGGGGCCACTGGTTCCTTGCTCTGCTCCACTGCTGGTACTCACTGGAGACCTGGAGGTGGATTTTGCTGGAGAGGGCAGTGCCGTAGTCATTCCGGGCAAAGCACTGGTACTCCCCCTCATAGTCCTCCGGCCGCCCTCCACTGTGGAAGTCGATGACCAATGTCCCTGACCGCCGCCGCATGGACACCTTGGGGTCCTTCGCCACGTTGAAGAACTTCCCGTTCCGTGTCCAGGAAAAACTGCAAGCACGAGGAAGAAGTTGGTTTTGTAACCATGGACCATATTTTCTTGGTGACATCCTTACCTGTGCTGTGCAAGCCACCAGCTGGATTAAGTGGTGGGGTAAATGACATGGCTTGACCAGAGGGGACCTGCTCAAGAGCCACCCCAGAGCTTCAGGGTAATGAGGGCTGTGGATGCACTTACATGGGAACGGGGTTCCCTTTGGCTTCACATTCAATGAAGATATTATCTCTTGGGTCAACGATGTAGTCCTTCACAGACTGCTTGGTGATTGTGGGGGGCTGAGGCACTGCAAAGCAAAAGAAAAGCCATAAGGAAGGTCATGCAAAGAGGGCGAGTCCCCTCTCCGCCATCCTGTGGCATATCCCAGTGGGATTTCAGCTTCTTCCCCAGGCTGGACATGAAATTTGTAGTTTAAGGCCCTTCAACACCTGAGGAAATGAGCACGAACACTTGTAGGGGTGTGCTACTCATCACCCCTTGGACCACTGACATTGTTCAGACTCCCTTTTGGTACGAGAAAGCCTATTTCTCGCTTGGTATCTTGGTCTCATTAAGAAATTTCACAGTTACATTTTCCTCAGGTCATCTGAACTGGACTCAAAGGCATCTGAGCTCTGCACCTCAAAGAGAGGGGCTGCAGCTGGGACAGGGAGCCAGAGGGCCACTGGGAGTGGGTGATGCTGCCACGTGATGCTGCACCCTGTGCCAAGCAGCAGCCCCCACTGTCCCCCTGCCCGGAGTGACCCCCTGCCCGGTACAGACCCCCTCGTGCCCTGTTCTGGCCATGCAGAGGAGACGGACACATACACACAGAGGGGAGGGGAAGACTTACATTCACTCTGAATATTTGCTGTTATTTCCAAAGTGCAAGCGTAATGAAAGAAAAAAAGAAGGTTAATTGAAGAACAAACCTGCATACATCATGTGCACAAACATAAACATGTATAGTTATTGTAGGGCTTGCAAATGCTACACACAAATGGTTTTACAGTTCAAGCATGTTCTAATCTACCTACTTACTGTCCACGTGGGAGAAGCTGCTGCTGAACAGTCCCGTTTGCAGGGGGTTTTAGGCCAAAAGAAAGCACAGGGTGCTTGGACAGGCTTTGGGGTTCTCACACCACTGCCTTCCCCCCTTCCCCATGGCCAGGCTTTCCCTGAGCCCCCCTGTTTCATCCCTTGGAGTTAGAGACCAATACCTGCCTGATAAACCTTTTCTAGGCTGATGCTCAAACTCAGAGAAGGTGCCTGTAACACACATACACACACACACTATATATATATATATGTATATATATATATATACACACACATCCTGTCCCCAGGACAGGGGCAGGTAGGATTTTATCCAAAGAAGACAACTTGTTAGGGTTGGGGCAGGTAAAAAGCACCCAGGCTGGCTTAAAAGAAAGAGCAAATAGTGCAGCTCCCCCTCAGACAGTGAGGGGACCCCAAGGCTCTGCCCATCTATCTGCCCCCTCCTGAGCTGCTTCTGCTCTTAAAGCATAAGATCTGGGGAGCAAAATGCCTCCCCAGGGAGATCTCCCACCCCTGGACCTAAATCCATACCCCGGTACTGGATGAAGGAGCTGATCTCTGTGGAGCAGGGAGGACTTTCACAGCTGGTGAAAAAGGCAGTTTCACAGAGGCTGTGATTTGCAGGTTTATCAGCTCCTGCATGAAGCCAGAGCAGCTGGGGCTGTTTACACACCCCCGGTCAGACCTGCAGCCACTGGATCACCAGGTGGTTTAAACAGGAGCTGAGAGCAGACCCCTGATGGCTTCAAACGTCAGGATGGAAGTAAAAGGAAGCTGATGCTCTGTGTCTCCATGGAGGGAGGCTGGGAAGGGTCAACCCCTGATGGCTGCAATGTCAGGAAGGAAGCTGATGCTCCGTGTCTCCATGGAGGGAGGCTGGGAAGGGTCAGTGGGGGGGGCACAGGCATCAGTGGGATCCCTGACCCTCTCCCAGGGCTGGGAGATGCTCATCACCCACCTTCACTTGGCACTGCTGGGCACAACTGCCCCCACACATTATTTCCAAAAATCTGTTGTGCAGGGAACCCATTCAGGGAAGGATGACAAAAAGATGCAGGTTTATCAGCTCCTGCATGAAGCCAGAGCAGCTGGGGCTGTTTACACACCCCCGGTCAGACCTGCAGCCACTGGATCACCAGGTGGTTTAAACAGGAGCTGAGAGCAGACCCCTGATGGCTTCAAACGTCAGGATGGAAGTAAAAGGAAGCTGATGCTCTGTGTCTCCATGGAGGGAGGCTGGGAAGGGTCGGTGGGGGGGGACAGGCATCAGCAGGATCCCTGACCCTCGCCCGGGGCTGGGAGATGCTCATCACCCACCTTTTCACATGGCATTGCTGGGCACAACTGCCCACACACAAGTTATTTCCAAAAATCTGTCGTGCAAAGAACCCATTCAGGGAAGGATGACAAAAAGATGCTCTCAATTAGACTCCCAGTTTCCCACCAGCACTGGAGAGGAGGATGCTCTCAGTGCTGTGCAGCAGGGAGGAGGAGGATGGTCAGCTGCTGCAGGCTACCTTCAGCTCTTCTCCACCACCTGTCAGCATTTCTCTTAATTTCCTAAGGTCACATTACATTTAAGTAGCAAAATCACTGCTTTCCTGATGTAAACCATGAGAAATGGCAGATGGCAGCTCTTTGCAGACCCATTCAGTTTTTCCCAGCTGCAAAGGCCCCTGTTTCCATGCCGGCTGCCTGCATTTCTGGAATATTAGAGATGCGAACAAAGCCAGGCCTGAAGGAAGCACTGAGCTGTGTGCATCAAATAAAACTCCCATTGCTGGGAACTAGAGCACCCTGTGTGTGTTACACACTCCAGGGGAACAGAGATTTTCATCCCCAATCATCTGGAACGGAGCAGAGCAGGGACTCACACTCGAGTCTGGGACCCTCTCCTTTTCAAGTAATATAAGCATTTATTCCCCTCCACAAATCAGAGCTTCCTCACTCTTTCTCTTCAGTTATTTCCAAATTTCACCCAAAAGCCACCGCCTCAGCTTTTTCCCTCCCATTTTGCTGCCCAGAGCCTGGGATCAGCTGAGGTACCATGGCTACGGCCAGCACAGCCAGGATTCCACGGAGCAAAAACCCACAGGGTAGAAATTTCTCCTATCAAGAGCAACCCAGGCACTTTAGCCTGAATTTAGACCCCAGCAAAAAGCCGTGCTTTTTCTACTAATGCACTGCTCGCTGGAGGATTTCTGTGCGTTGCCCTGTCAGAAGAGATTCCCTGCAGCGACAGGCTGATTATTATTAACAGCCGCTACAGGAGGAAGCTGGGACACAAAGAAATTATGCAACTGGTTTCCAGAACAGTGGCTGAGCAGCCCTCGGTACGAACCCCCCTCTCAAGCGCGTTCAAACATGTCAGGCATTTCCCATGTGCTGCCCTGAAGATGCCCATTCAGCAGAAACATCAGCCCGTGTCCCCCCTTTCCTCCTCGCTCCATATCCCCCAGCTCTTCTGAATAAAACATGACTCCCATCTCATAATTAACTGAAAATGTGAGAAAGAGAGAAATCCCTGCCCTCAGGGCCCTGGGTGGCAGCATCTGGCCTCCATGAAGGAGCATCCCGAAACCTGCCCGTGCTCTGTAGGAACACAGGGAGTCGTGGGATGCTCCCCTGGAATCAACAGGCTGAAGATGTGCCAGGACCCAGTTTCTTCACCAGCTGGGCTCAGATACTCTGTCCCATTTTGATAATGAGTCCTTTGCTCAGCTTTTGAGACAGATTAACTCAATCAGAGAGTGATTTCGGTGACTTTCTGGAGGTCGTGGGGTTTAAGAAGAAAAATAGCTTCAAATAAACAACCTTAGGCCGGACCAGAAAAACAACCTGGACCATACACATCTTCACTCTACCTCCTCGACCGTTTCAGCGGGATTTTTGAGGGGTGACCCATAACTTACAATCCAGAGGGACTTCGATGGCGCTGACGAGGTGATGAAGGCAGAGGGCCAGTGCTATTCCTGCGCAGGTGAGGTGGTGTCTTTGCATGACCATTTTGGAGGCCTGGGCAGCCTTAGGACCTGGGTTGCGTCCCCCGGGGCGAGCAGAGCAGCAGCAGGCACAGGCGGATCCTCAGCTGCAAAACGAACACAAACCCAGCCATCACCCAGCCAGCTCCAGCTCCAGTTCTGTCAGCTTCCTTTTGGCAACTGTGGAGACAGTTTCCAATCCAAAACTATTGTGTGGAGGGACAGGGGGGGTGTGAATAGGGCCAGAAATAATTTACAGGCCTTGGTGACACAGGTCCAAGCCTGTAGTCAACCCCCTGGGTTGTTCTGTTGGCAGAAAATTGGCCTTAGAAAAATCAGGGTTATTTGTTACATCAGGGTTACATCTCTCAAACCTGGAGAGACCGCTTGGATAGGAGGAGAAGGAGCATGCTGTCTCCTGGGATGGATGGAAAGTTACTCAGAGCAATAGAATACAAAAGCAGTGAGCAGTCCCCTTAAGATAAAATAAAAAAGGATGTTTTTCCGTTTACAAAAATAATAATAATAGTATTTTATGCCCAAGAAATACCTAGCAAACATCTGCTCCCTCCAGTGGGGCACTGGGATGAGCTCTGCAGCCCAGCAATAGCAACGGACTGGCTCTGGAGACCTCCTTGTGTATCAAAGAGCCTGTCCCCGAGCAGACACAGCCCTAGCAGGGGATGGGGCATGGTGGGACCTTTCCCAACCAGTCTCTAAACGAGCCCATTTCCATCCAGGCTCCGGGGACTGGCTCTGGAGACCCCCTTGTGTATCAAAGAGCCTGTCCCCAAGCAGACACAGCCCTAGCAGGGGATGGGGCATGGTGGGACCTTTCCCAACCAGTCTCTAAACGAGCCCATTTCCATCCAGGCTCCAGCTGGTTCCCTCCCCAGCCAGTCCCTGGGGCCAGATGTGCAACACGCCGCTGCCGGGCTCCCAACGGCACCCAGCCAAACCCCCTGCACCTCCTCTCAGGTTATCATTTGCCATTTCCATACACATACCTTTAATTTTGCTGCTAATAAACCCATAGCATAAAAAAAGGAGGATAAATGATCCCGTCTGTACAATAAAAGCCCCCTTAGAAAGGCTGCCCAGAGGTCGCATCGCGGCTGCGTTACAACTCTCTGTAATAGAGTTATTAAAAGGGCATCAGAGGAGCAGACAGCTCTTTGGGCGAAGAACAAAAATAACGCCAGGGCAGCAAACAGTGGAAAATCCCCAGCCTCGCTCGGCACCGCTCCTCCCCGGCCCTCGCCCAGCCTCTCGCCCAGGAGAGGCCATTTGGCAGGCACGGAGAGCCCGGCTTCATCAAATATAAATAACTGGCTGCAGCTCGGGATGCTGCTACCCCTTCAGCTGCTCGGTCCGAGGCAATTGTGAGAGGGAGGAGGGGGGACCCAGCACAACAGACAAAACCCGGGGAACGGGGGGCTGCCGGGGGCTGCGGGTACCGCAGGGAACACTGCCAGGGGCCAGCAGATGTCTGGGGAAATAAACAGCCCTGACACACGGCCCAGGATGCTCTCCTGAACCCCAGACGGGCTCAAACCCTGCCCAAGACAACATTTAAGGATCCTTTTCCCCTTTTCCCTGATGGGGAATGTGATGTGCTGAAGGGTTTGCCCGCACTGAGCCCTCCCCACTGCCCTGCTCAGTGCCATCGGGGTCTCCCTGTCCCCGTGCCTGGGCTGAAGCCCAAAGGAACTCGCTGTCCCAGCATGTCCCAGTTACACCAGATGACAGATTGTAGGTTGTGAAGGGGCTTGGAGGGGAGTGTTGCTTTGATCTTTTTTGCTCGTTCTAAGGCTTTTCCAATCCAGCTGTTGCAATAAAAATAGTTGAAGGACAGAATAATTATAGGACTGGGACAGTAATTAAAGTCATGTCCAGGACTTCTGCAGTCCTGTGATCAGGTCATGCTGAACAAAGCTTTTCAAATTACTTCTTTAGCTTCCTGTCTAAGGGAAGACATCATTTTGATCTGTAGCCTTCATTTTTTTAGAGCGGTTCATTTCTCCAGTTACAGCTTAAAATGAGTAATGGATCAGCTGCTTTTATGCCTTTCTGTTACTAAGCACGAGCCTGACTTATGGACTGAATCAGCCAATGCTGCACCCGGGGATTTCGTAAGGCTGAGATTCCTTGTGTCCCCCCTCCGCTCACACGCTGATGCTTCACACCACTATCACCAAATGCTTTAAACCCCTCTTCATTCACGGGTGGACGACGGGAGGGAAGGCGCAGGACGGATGGAATTTAAATAGGGCACATCTCTAGGAGCTGCTTGGAGCCCAGAAAGCGAAGAACGTGCTGTTTTCTTTAGACTGGGTACCAGTTAGTGTGAAAGAAATGGCTGTGACACGAAGGAGTAGGTTCCTGGCACATGTGTTTCACAGAATCACAGAATCACAGAATCTTCTAGGTTGGAAGGGACCTTAAAGATCATCTTGTCCAACCGTCAACCTGACTGACAAAAATAGACACCCACACAACAAACAAGGAACATCATCACTAAACCATACCTCCCAGCACTACATCAACCCCTCTTTTGAACACCTCCAGGGATGGTGCCTCAACCACCTCCCTGGGCAGCCCATTCCAATGGCTGAGAACCCTTTCAGTGAAAAAATTTTTCCTAATATCCAGCCTGAACCTCCCCTGGCGCAACTTGAGGCCATTTCCTCTCGTCCTGTCGCCTGTGACTTGAGAAAAGAGACCGACCCCCACCTCTCTACACCCTCCTTTCAGGGAGTTGTAGAGAGTGTTTGGGAGGTATTTGTATATTATATGCATTTTGCATTAATTTGTATATTATATGCATTTTGCATTAAATAGGAATGCAGAAGGAGCTGAGCCCAAACAGTGATATATAGAATATACACAGGAGGCGTCTAACTGATGCAAAGGGGTGTATCCTGCCTGGCATCACACACATGGGGACTAGAAAATTAAGGGCTGTGCATATCAGGGGAAGAGAAATTTGCAGATCACTCGAGCTGCCGAAGGGAAGAGCAGGGACACAATGGAGCCCGTGGGCAGAGCGATTTGGGAATGACCCGGGATGCTTCCAATGCTGTTGGACCAGCCATGGAGGACATCTCCATGGAGCAGCACCGAGAGCAAATAATCAAACCCACGACCGAGCACACTCAAAATGCATCCCTGCCTTGAGCAGAGCGAACGCCGGGCGGCTCCAGGGCCCCTTTGTCTCGGGGCAGATGTGGGTGCCACTCGCCGGGCACCGGGAACAAGCTGCCGCCGTGCCTGCGCGTGTAGGAGGGTCCCGGGGACAGGCAGTGCCGCGAGCCCCCGGCCACGCAGAACACTGCCCACATTGTCACAGCCACTCCTGGCCCAGGGGACGGGGACATCTCCCCAGCACAGAGGGCTGGAGCTGCTGCAGGGGCTCGTCTGGGGATGCTACGAGTCGTGAAGCTGCCTGATGTCTTCATCTGCTTCTGAGGCTAACTCAAATCGAAATGAGATCTCTTTTCCCCCAACTTAGCATTTCTTAATCGTTGTTCCCTGCCCTTGTGCAACTCAGAAAAGATCTGACTGCTGCCCAAAGAGCAGAACAAGCCCCTCAACCTGGTATCTGCAGCCCCCTCCCAGGATGGCCAGAGCCGCGGAGGCGGCAGGGTTGAGTCTGGGGATGCTCAGGAAGTCTCTGAGCTGCCTGGAACCAAAACCCATCTAAAATCTGAGCCCGTAACGTTCAGTAAAAACACAAAACAGGCCAAAATCTCACACAAATAGTTGCAAGAATGTGATGCCATCAAATAGGAATTTAACTGCTTAAATGCATTTCTCATGCAGCGTTGAGCCTGCATCCAGGCACCAACAAAAGCCGTGTCCCTGCTCCGCTTTCCTCCAGACACAGCCAAGATACAGCAGTGACTTGTACTCAGACGCCTTTTCCCCATATATTTACCCAGAGTTCAGAAGTGTTTTTCAGACTTTTTGGTGTTTTCCATTTCCCCCATGACCTTTTGCAACATCAGTTCTCACAAACTGTTAGTCTGAGTTGAGAAATACAGCCCAGACCTTGGCCCAGACCTCCCTCCACATGCATCAGATGCTTTTGTAAATATATTTTTCTCCAGACAAAAGCTTGAGTAACCCCAGGACAGGACCTTTTAATCTGGAGACTGCTCCTCCTGGCAAAACCCGACCAAATATCCACAAAGCATGGGGTGCATCTGAAAACAAGAGGTGGATGTACAACTTTATCTCTGCTGCCTTTGGAGCCTCCCTCCTCTCTCCGAACAGGCACTGGAGGGAAAAAACTAAATGCAAGAAAGAAAGGACAGAAAAGGCTTGGACACCTGGGGGTGACTGAGTGAACAGGCACTGGAGGGAAGAAACTAAATGCAAGAAAGGACGGAAAAGGCTTGGACACCTGGGGGTGACTGAGACACCCGTGATGGGACGATTGGTCCCAGGGCTGAAAATACAGACACTGGGACTCAACTGCAGCAGTGCTTGCCCCAGCTGAGGGCTGGGTGAGCAGGATGGGATCTGGAAGGTTTGGAGAAGATTTGTACTTTCCCTAGAAAAATTACCCACATTTTTTATTCTTGTGCAGCAGCCAGGACAAATCAGATTGAAGGAAAAAGAAGTTTCCAGAAGGAAACATCTTGTCGTGCATTGCCTGCATTACAAAACACACAGGGCAGAGGACCCCCGTGCATTACAAAACACACAGGGCAGAGGACCCTGGCATGGTGGGTTTTCTGTTTTGTTTAAGGACAGAGGGTGATTTTGCTGCATTGTCAAATGTTTTCTGAAAAAATACGGATTTTCAAATGACTGCAGCAGGTAAGAAACTGCTGGAGTCAAGAGGAGGTACTAAGAGTCAAGGGGTCTTGGATACTCATGTGACTTGGCAGAGCCCTGGGGAGCCCCACGTGCCTCCCCCAGCAGGGAGAAGCCCCCCCTGACACGACCCCCTCTCCCAGGAGGTGCTGGTGGCGATGGCACCCACCAGGCGAAGGTGCCTGGATTATCCCAAGAGCCATGTGGTGAACGGGATCCCACTGAAACCCTACCTGCCCCATATGCTCTTACAGGGTCACTGCCCTGCTCTGCTGCAAGTTTCACA